TCGTGATAAATATCAATATCGACTGGTGAATGAATGAACTGATTAGACTATTTTTACAAGAACAATACAAAAAACTGTAAACTACAAACAGCCATAACAACGATATTGGATAAGATAACCAACTGGTTAATAGCGGAATCTAATTGGAATTATGCATTCATATGGCATTATAATTTGTCTGTATTCTGTATGCACACCTCATAGTAATATGTGTGTTTGCCCAGTTGAGTCTATAATGGGAATGAGTGTCATTTTGAGCTTGTTTGCGTCCAGTGCCTCTCTTCCCATTAATAAGTCATATAGAGGATGAGAACACACACACTGCTCAGAACAACAGGTGCAGTGTTTGCCTCTTCAGTCTGGACTGATTAATGGCTTGTGGCAACCTGTGTTCGTGTGTGTTCATGATGTACCAGAATATAGAATACAGAATAAGGCATTGTTCAAAATTGGATACGTATGTACTGTATTCTACATACCGCCCAGCACTATCCCAAATGTTGCCTACTTTTCTGCTACACACTCAAAAGTAGGCTATATATTTTTAAAGGAATAGTATAAACAGATGAATTGGGATGCAAAAGTAGTCACATTAGACATATAATGTTGAGTGCATTGCCTTGTGGGTCACACTAATCGGGGTAGTGTGTTCTGTTGTGCACTGTACATTTTGACATTTGTAGCAGATAATCCATATATTTTATGTATAGAACAATTTCTAAATTTCTGCAATAACATTGAGTAGTGTTGTGCTAATCCAAACATGACCAAAAATGCTGAACTGAGCATGTGCGTTTTGTATTTTTATCATAACAAGGAATTGTCACAACACATTGTGTTTAGATGGTATAATTACAGTATCAATGTAAATGTTATGTCTGTGTGTAAATATGACCCTTCTGAATCGTTACTCTTTTTCAGTTGTCTTATGTCACACATTGCTAAAGCAGTTTCACTTGAACCGCAGCCAAAATAAAAACAACAAAACTCGAAAGTGAACATTAAAAGGGGCATATTAAAAACAATTAAACTACAAAATAAGGAAGAGAAAATTCAGTTCCCCATTTTTTTTTGATGATTCCCAGTCGGGCATTCAGAATTTTAGGTTTTTTTTTTTTTAAAGAAGTATTTTATGGTCACCAAGGCTGTATTAATTTGATCAAAAATACAGTAAATTAGTAATAATTTTTTATTCTATTTTAATATTTTTTTAAATGTAATTTATTCCTGTGATTCATGTTTTCGGAAGAAAGAAAGAAACATTCATTTTCAGACAGTTTAATATTTTTGTCTTTACAAATGAAGGTCATTTAGTATTTAAACAGTGCTGGTAATGTTTGTTAGTAGCTGCTTAACGGACTGTGGAACAGCCCTTTATGAGCTTAAACCGTTCGGTGGGACTAGTCTTGATCTCTGAAGGGTATTACAATCACTGCACACATGTCGGATCACGAATGCTGACAGGCATGCAGAGCCAAATTGGGCAGGATGAGTCAAGTTGTCTTCTCCCAGAGGATCATGTTCTCTAAGATTGATGAATGATGTCTTGCTCTGGTTGTGTTCAGTCTCACAGTGCAGAGGGACATAAATGATAGTCTACTGCACTCAACACACACACACACATTGTCTGGAATGATACAGGTACACATATTTGTTACATGTTTTGGTTCTGATATCTTTTTGTTTTACAAGTGTTTTCTCGATTTCTGAGTTAGATTCACTTCGATTCAGTTCAGTTTAGTCTAGTTGAGTTCATTCAGATTATTTGAGTTCAGCCTAGCTGATTCAAATTTAGTTGAAGTTGGATAGAATAGTTAAGTTAATAGTTAAGTTTAGCTTAATATTTGAGTGAGTTTGAATTGAGTTAACAGGGCTCGCAAAATTTCAAAATCCCTGTTGGCCCTTTGGCAGGCACTCCTTAGATTTTGGTAGCACAAGATGAATTTAACTAGCCCCACCCCAAACCCTGGGGAACCCTGTATTTAGTTTGCGCAACGCTGACCTCATACGCCATGCTCCCGGAACTGCTTCTGTGTACGACTGCTGGCACAAGCTAGATTAAAGTGTTTATTATGTTTTGAATATGGATATTTGTCTTACAAAAACGCATCGATTCGCTACAGGAGGCCTTTGTTTCACCCCCCCGGAGCCGTGTGAGACGCTTTTTATTTAACTTCTTTTGGACTGAAGCAATGCAACATCCGCTGACTGCAATGATAGAGCTTGAAAGATCAAAGACAATTTTTAATATAACTACGACTGGATTCGTCTGAAAGAAGAAAGTCATATACACCTAGGATGCCTAGGTGGTTAGTAAAATGCAGCCTAATTTTCATTTTTGGGTGAACTAACCCTTTAATTACTCACCCTCATGTCGTTCTAAACCCGTAAGACCTCCTTTCATCTTCGGAACACAAATTAAGATATTTTTGATTAATTCTGAGCGCTCTCTGACCCTCCCATAGACAGCAATGTAATTACCACAATCAAGGTCCAGAAACGTAGCAAGGAGATTGATAAAATAATCCATGTGACATCAGGTGTTCAACCGTAATTTTACGAAGCTACAAAAATAATGACTTTATTCAACAATTTGTGTCCTCCACGTCACCCTGGTGACAGTTTGGAGACTATCCACTGAACATAAACATCGTATGCTATTCTTGTGTTAGCTGCGTCACGTGGAAACAGAACAGCAGAACAGCATTCGCTGTTTTTACGTTCAGTGAATACTCTCCAAAATGTCACCAGGGTCACGCAGAGACGACGAATTGTTGAATAAAGTCGTTATTTCTGTTTTCTTGGCACGGAGGAGACAAATCTTTGCATACAAAAAGTATTCTCGTAGCTTCGTAAAATTACGGTTGAACCCCTGCGGAAACAGAACAGCAGAACAGCATTCGCTGTTTTTACGTTCAGTGAATACTCTCCAAAATGTCACCAGGGTCACGCAGAGACGACGAATTGTTGAATAAAGTCGTTATTTTTGTTTTCTTGGCACGGAGGAGACAAATCTTTGCATACAAAAAGTATTCTCGTAGCTTCGTAAAATTACGGTTGAACCCCTGATGTCACATGGATTATTTTAATCGATCTCCTTGCTACGTTTCTGGACCTTGATCGTGGTAATTGCATTGCTTTCTATGGGAGGGTCAGAGAGCTCTCAGAATTCATCAAAAATATCTTAATTTGTGTTCCGAAGATGAACGGAGGTCTAACGGGTTTAGAATGACATGAAGGTCATTAATGACAGAATTTTCATTTTTGGGTGAACTAACCCTTTAAATTAAAAACTAGCTTACTTTGAGTCTACTTGTAAACAAACAAACGTTTATTCATTCTTGAGTTCTAACAAACATGTAGAATGCATTTCATTCCCTATTTATGGTATGAAATGAATATCGTGATAAATATCAATATCGACTGGTGAATGAATGAACTGATTAGACTATTTTTACAAGAACAATACAAAAAACTGTAAACTACAAACAGCCATAACAACGATATTGGATAAGATAACCAACTGGTTAATAGCGGAATCTAATTGGAATTATGCATTCATATGGCATTATAATTTGTCTGTATTCTGTATGCACACCTCATAGTAATATGTGTGTTTGCCCAGTTGAGTCTATAATGGGAATGAGTGTCATTTTGAGCTTGTTTGCGTCCAGTGCCTCTCTTCCCATTAATAAGTCATATAGAGGATGAGAACACACACACTGCTCAGAACAACAGGTGCAGTGTTTGCCTCTTCAGTCTGGACTGATTAATGGCTTGTGGCAACCTGTGTTCGTGTGTGTTCATGATGTACCAGAATATAGAATACAGAATAAGGCATTGTTCAAAATTGGATACGTATGTACTGTATTCTACATACCGCCCAGCACTATCCCAAATGTTGCCTACTTTTCTGCTACACACTCAAAAGTAGGCTATATATTTTTAAAGGAATAGTATAAACAGATGAATTGGGATGCAAAAGTAGTCACATTAGACATATAATGTTGAGTGCATTGCCTTGTGGGTCACACTAATCGGGGTAGTGTGTTCTGTTGTGCACTGTACATTTTGACATTTGTAGCAGATAATCCATATATTTTATGTATAGAACAATTTCTAAATTTCTGCAATAACATTGAGTAGTGTTGTGCTAATCCAAACATGACCAAAAATGCTGAACTGAGCATGTGCGTTTTGTATTTTTATCATAACAAGGAATTGTCACAACACATTGTGTTTAGATGGTATAATTACAGTATCAATGTAAATGTTATGTAAGTGTGTGAATATGACCCTTCTGAATCGTTACTCTTTCTCAGTTGTCTTATGACACACATTGCTAAAGCAGTTTCACTTGAACCGCAGCCAAAATAAAAACAACAAAACTCGAAAGTGAACATTAAAAGGGGCATATTAAAAACAATTAAACTACAAAATAAGGAAGAGAAAATTCAGTTCCCCATTTTTTTTTGATGATTCCCAGTCGGGCATTCAGAATTTTAGGTTTTTTTTTTTTTAAAGAAGTATTTTATGGTCACCAAGGCTGTATTAATTTGATCAAAAATACAGTAAATTAGTAATAATTTTTTATTCTATTTTAATATTTTTTTAAATGTAATTTATTCCTGTGATTCATGTTTTCGGAAGAAAGAAAGAAACATTCATTTTCAGACAGTTTAATATTTTTGTTGAATCTGTCACACTTTTCTTTGATGAATAGAAAAAAGTCTGTCTGTCTCCCTTTGTTTATGAAAGATAATCAGTACTGTTCATGCAAAAGTCTACATACAATTATATACTCATTTATAGTCATATGTCAATCTTAAATTGTTGGTACAGTATTACAGTACTTTACAGAATAAATAAAGTGTACATTTATGTCAATCATATTCAGTAAATTTAATTGCGTGCATGTAGAATCATAATCGGAATAATTGATAAATGTTAAACTTCTTCAACAAGAACAGAGTTTAATTGAGTGATTTCTGTTTCTTTAGGCCTATGGCTCAGGCTGTGATATCGTGATCCTTGCAAGTGATTTTGAGTGTGTTCAAATTATTCCTGGAGCTCAGAATGGAAACATCCAGGTGGGCTGTGTGGAGTGCTCTCAGCAGCTCGGCCGGGTAAGACTATACTACACTTCTTACATTTACATTAATGCTTAGTGCATACCTTTAATACAAAGCACTGAACAAATGAGAAATACTGTAACAAAAACAATCCATCCTAGTGAATACAGTTATACTGGAATATAATGTTTTCAAGTCAACCACGCCTACCTAAAACGTCTCGTTCTAACACGCCCCCACATGTCTAAGAAGATTTGCATAACGCCGCCCAAATGTTCACGCAAAGAAAGAAGGCATAACTTTTATTCTTGCTGTAGTATTGTTGTTGTTGCCGCCGCCGCCGCCATGTCGTGAAGGCGCTGTGTGTTTCGTTGTGAAAGCGAAATCACTTTGTTTGGCCTTCCAAAAGAGGACGATATCTGCTTCGTCATGCCTGGAGCTGATCCGTGCTGGTCGCTGAGGAAATACATAATCTTCGCGCTGTGGATTGCCGGATCGGCTTTCACCGTGGATGAAGCGGAGTCCAGCCCGGGGTCGTCACATGTGGTTGCCGCAAGCCCGCCTGCCTCTGCTCACTCTAGGCCTCCGCTCACTCAAGCCGGCCTCCGCTCATCCTAAGCCTCCAGCCTCCGCTCACTCTAGCCCACCGTGTGTGACGCTGTGTTTCGTTACTACTTTGTTTGGCCTTCCAAAAGAGGACACGATTAGAAATCAGTGGTTAAATTGTATTTACAACACTGTTCCAGAACAGTTCAACCCAAATATTCCGATGTGTCCAGCACATTTTATGGAGGACTGTTTCCTGATCCTGGTAGAGTAGACTACAATGCCGGCTGTTCTGACTCACAGACTGTAAGTACGCTTTTTTATATTTAAAGAATTTTCCACTGATGATTCAAACGTGAGTTTTGAGCAGTGTAGAGTAGCGTTTGTAGTTTTGTCATTTCTCTGATCACAAATGCATACATGGTTTTATGTTTACGCGGCGCGATGCAATGCGACGCGTAAAAAGAGAGTATAAATCATTATAATCCGTAATTATGTCCCCACTGGATGCAACAAATGCCTAGTTTATAATGGGTTTTAATGTTTTTGTCTCGTCGCTCCGGCCGGGACAAGGCATCACAATATGGCAAGGGGCGTAGCATTTCCGTCACACGCTTGAGGTATTCGGCCAATCACAACGCACTGGATAGCTGGCCAATCAGAGCACACCTCGTCAATGTTGCAGCACTAACTTGTCTGTAAACCATGTTTTTGGTCTGCCTAGTTTTTAATGACAGCATAATGAGACAACAATTTTTTTCTTTGAAACTTTGAAGGACTTACTTAAGATAGACCCCCCCAAAAAATTCACAATTTTATCACAATTACATTTAAATAGTCTTTAATACAGTTTTTTTTAAGTTTAATTTGATAAAATGTTTGTATTTATTGTATTTGTTGAATCTGTATCTGCCACATAGCCTGTGATTCTTACATTGGAATAAATGTACATACATCAATCAAAATATTCCTGAAATATAAATAACAAAAAAAGCATAGACAGTGCTACTGTAAAGAAATAGTTCTGTAACGTAGTTCAATTATGAAACAAATCAACACTACGTAAGGTCAAAACATTATGTTGTACAGTACCAAACACTTAAACTGAGTACGCATTACAAGTGATGATGACTAGAGTAGACATTACTAAACCAAAATATCAGCTTTTGATTCAGCCAAATTGAAATTATTAGCTGGCCAATTAACAGAAGTGCTCTTGCTTATTTCAAAATATACCAACAAACATGTAAATCGGTGATGAACATTTTGATTATGAGTAAATGTTGTATAAATGTTAATTTAAGTTTTGCAGTCTTGTAGTATATAGTCAGATATTATACCAATTGCTATCATTTAGATGCTGCATCATTAGCTTCACCAAATGGAGTTGCACTTGGGCCATCTGTTCTAGATGGACAAAAAGAAAGTCCTGCCCAGGCTGGTTGGAGTTCTTTATCTAAAAGAGCAGTATTTGGACAGCTCCACACGATTTGGGGGAGTCGACTTGCAAATTGTTTTTAAGCCTGGGATGGAAGAGAGAAATGTAGCAAAACATATAAAATATACTGTATGTCTGTTGCAGTCACATTCCAGACACAGGCATCAGTCACTGATGAGTAGACATTATGTGCTTGTGGATCTGATAAGCCACAACTCACTCCTGACAGTACGAACATGGATAAATGAAAAGATATATCCAGTTATCTTCACTGATTGTGTTTTTGACATGATTTTGTGTTCACAGTTTCTCCTTTCTAATGGTGGAACTGCTCTTTTATGATTATGTTCATTACAAATAATTTGTAAATAATGATTTATTTTGTAGATTGCTGCGTCTTATGGAAATACCGTTTGTATTTTTGAACCGATTGCTTCCAACCCAAATAAACGTCACAAGGTGAGTTTTGCACTGGAGGACAGTGGATCTTCGATCAGAGAGACAATGATAATAAAGATTACTATGGACATTTTGACATCTTTAGTAATTTACCCAAATATATATGCTATCTATATTTTCTTGAGAACACTTAACTGAATCTGAATAGTCATGTTTTACCAAAAATTCTTTATTAAGTATTTTTAAGAATTATTCATCATTGATGTAATTTAATTATTTAGTATAAAAAAAATATTTATTTAAATTATTTTAATTTTTTAAAGCAACTGAATTACCAATGGCAGAAGACTGGTCAGTTCTTTCTCAATGCTATAACCTACAATCTGGCCTGGGACCCCCAAGGTTTGTTTGAAATATACACTTTGTCAGTGAATGAACTAAATATTCATTCACTGCCCCCCCCCCCCCCCCCCCCCC